TTCACACCTGGTTCACCAGGCAATGCTCAATTCACACAGCTCATTTCAAGCCTGGGTTATATCAAGTTTGGATATTGGTTAATATCTGGATATTGGTTAATATCCTGCTAGTTCACCTTCCTACAACAACGTGCAGTCTGATTTATGGCACCAGAACTTGTCATCTGCTGAATGGGGCTGAGGGATTACCTGGAAACCAGAAGAAACCTCTATGCAAACAAAAACAGCCACCAAAAAACCCCAAAGAACAGTGGAATTAAATGCTTGTTTCCAAATTAAATCTTCTCCTTGTTCAATGACCCATAAGAGTTACAGGTGGAGTGAAATTCTTGTTTCCAAACTAAATCTTCCCATTTATTAATGGCCCGTAAGAGTTACAGGCAGGAAGGATAAAGTGAAGTGTAAGGGCAAAGCATGAGCAAGAGTGAAGCTGAAGCAAGTTCAGAATAAAACACAAACAGAAACACCTCACAAGACGAGGGTGACCAGGTTTTTGCGTTTACATATATTTTTTTCCGGCCGATTTTGCCTGCCGGAACGTTTGAACGTCCCCGAGGGGCTCCGCGGCGCCGCCGCCGCCATCACGGGCCCCTCACGCCGCGGCTCCGGCGCCCCCTGGCGGCCGCTCCCGCCGCGCTCCGTTATTCCCGCGGATTAATAAAATCAAAACGTGCATTAATACAATCAAAAGGTTAATTTTACGTTAAAACAAACGCCTTAAAACGAACTTAAAACTGAAACGACTTAAAATGAACAGGGGGGGTTTAAAATGAACTCGGCTTGAGCATTTGTTGCTCCAGGCTAAGCCATGATATCGAGGAAAATAAATTGACTCCCTCATGTCACTTTCTCGTTAGAAAAAACCTGAAACGAACAAACCAGGAAGATACAAATATCTAACCGGCCAAAACATCGATTTGTGAAGCATGGAAGAGTCAGCAGGTTGATCCAGACCATGTGTGACCATCCTGAAGCTCATCACACACCATGTTCCCGGAGGCCTCAGCCCAACTCCAAGGAAACCCAAGGAAACCCAAGGAAACCCAAGGAAATCCAAAGCAATCCAAGGAAATCCAAGGAAATCCAAAGCAATCCAAGGAAACCCAAGGAAATCCCGAGCTGAAGGAACCGCTGCTCATCCTGCCCTACATTGGGTCCCCACCAGCCCAGCCCAAGCAGAGAATCCCTCAGGCCACATCCAGTGCCAAAGTGCACATTGATCTTCCCAAACCAGCTGTCGGGATGGGACCCATTTACTTCCTTTTTATTTACTTCCCATTAGGCTGATGAACATTTCCTAATGAAAACACATCTATAAAAGCTGACTTGGTAATGCTGATGGCAAGTGACAGCCCTTCCCCTCGATGAGGCTGGAGCAGGATTAATTTGTCATCTCCCATCCCTTAACAGAGAAATGGTGCTTTGAAGTTCTCCTTTTAAGACACCTTTGTTCAACACCACGTGGGAAATACTATTTGGATCTGGAAATGAAATACTCCTGGTAGATTTTTTTACACAGAGTAGACACGCTCCTTAATAAAAGACTAGTTAATTTGCAAATAAAGCATCCAAAAATACTGGCAGCACCAGAGCAAAGTGCAAATTGTGAGGCAGCAGTGGCCTCTGCCACCACATACCTGCAACTCCTGCCTCAATATTCACGGGGTTATATTGTTATTTTGGGCAGTATTTAGATCAAAATCTGGGTGTTACAGCCATCTAGATGAGGTAAAACCCCCTTGGTTGAACTGCTGAGCTACAGACACAGATTCAACTCTGAACCTAAGTTAGACTCAAACCCTTTTGTTTCACACCCTGTGATAGTAAAATTTTATCCTCTAAATATTTGAACATTTGCTCCTTTGTGGTGTCAGAGACTCGCATGGCCCACAGCTAAATGGGTCAGGGAAAATCCAAACATAAAGCAGGGCAAGATGTGTGGTTCTGAATACACCATGAACAGAAATAAAAGCAATTCTCATGCATTAATGGTACATCAAGCTAATTCAAGAAGGCTAAAACCATTAAAAAGGCATCCTGGGGCAGTACACAGTCATTACAATACTGTGCTGACAAGAAGTATTAAAATAATCATTTTCACTGTCATTGATAGAATCCGTTCTGATAAGCAGGGGGAAAAATTCCCTAATTCTTAATTGGGAATATGAAGCAAAATGGATCTTATTAGCATTTATCTAATTTTTAAAATGCAATTCCCTTGTTCAACTATTCAAAATAGCAAAAAAATAAGAAAGGATTTATTATCCTCCATCGTTGGGCACATTACTAAACTAAACCCTTGAAACATGGAACTCCTCTTTTTTATTTCAGCCTGAAATTCAGGTTTTACTTCCCAACAGTATGTTTTAAACCTCAGTGGGACATGGTTGAAGGTTAGAAACCAGCAGAATGTGAAGGACGATTTTGGCTTTCACTTTACTTAGCTTTCCTCTCACAAAATATGAACCAATGGACTTGATGATCTTAAGGGTCTTTTCCAACCCAAGTGATTCTATGATTCCATCTCTGTTACAATCAATGGTGAGCTTATCAGCTGTAATGAAGCGCTGGAAACGAGGTATTTGGATTTAACTCGAGAATAAAGTAGCATTTTCATAATAACAATAATCATTCAAGTTAAATTATTTTCCCACTCAGCTGTGGAGAAAATGGGAAATGAGTTATCACAGAAGAATCATAACAGATGACCACTAAGTTCAGTAGCTGCTTGCAGGGGACAAATTTGAAATTTAATTTCTAAAGTGTGTGCAATGAAGGAGTAAAAAGCTCTTCAATGCCATTTCCAATTTCTTCCTCCAAAAGGTATGTCTACATCACAGCCAGGCACAACACAGAAACAAGAAAAGAGATTTTAAAATAAGCTTGCAAACAAAGCAGCCCAAACCAGGAACTGGTGTCAAAACCCACCAGGTGTGTGTGGAAGAAAAGTCTGTAGGCTGGAACATCCTCAGGTGAATTTTATTTCTTTTTTTTATCAGAGAATCCCAGAATGGTTTGGAGTGGAAGGGACGTTAAAGCTCATCTTGTTCCAACCCCTGCCAGGGCAGGGACACCTTCCACTACCCCACTAATGTGAACCCTCTGAAGAAGCCACAAAAAAACCCATTAAAGCTATGCTGAACCTTAACACCCCAGAGCAGCACAAACCAAGGGACATTTAATCAAGTGCTCCCTATTAACAGCTTGCACTGCTCATTCACACGCCCCCATTTAATGGGGTTAAGAAGTTGCTTTGTTTCCTGCTGAAACAAACAGCAAAAATTATCAGGAATTGGATTCGGTCCCAGACGTGTCTGGCAAGTGTAACCCATTCATACAGAAGCATTTCTAATCCTATTAGCTGGCAAATATTAAAGAGTTGGTTGGCTGCCACGAGGGCAAAACAACACCCTGATATTTCTTAAAACACATGAGCCCTGTCAATTCTTTCTTACCACCAAAGAGAGACAAATGAGCCCCCTGAAAGCTTACAAGTTTATCACACTAGCTTTGTGCCAAGAGACTTCTCTCCAAATCTATGAGAAAAGGGAAAAAAAAAAACAAGAAGGAGGCTGCAGACAGAGCCACAAACACCAGGACTTGGAATATATAATTAACAATCTAACTATAGCCAGCACTCCAAAATAAATGTGCTAAACAAAACCCCCTAATGGCTCTTTGAAACTCCTAATCAATATAGAAAATCTAGGCAGTCAAAACAGTAATTTTTGCAACTGGTTCAACAGAAAACAGGGAGCAAAGCAAGAAGATGCAGCTTCAAATGCTCTTCTCTGAAATCTGACCAACACCATGGGTTAAAAAAGGATGCAAGTCAGTATTTTCCACATAAAATGTACAAATTTTTTGACTCTTTTTATCCTATGCAAAAATTGCCACCTTTTTTGTTTTGAATGTAAACATTAGAATGTATCTCCTTTTTATATCTCCTTTTTATTCCACGTAAAAATTTGGTATTTTTGCCTTTTTTTTAAATTTGAAGCATCTTTTCACACCCTATTGCAAGGTGCTGATGTGACACTGCCTTATGTAAGCACAGGCAGAGCAGGACTTTGCAACGAGAAGCTGGCAACAGAAGGCCCCAGAACTAGGGGCTCTGAGAAGCATTAACATTTAATTAATTAAAAAGGTTTTCAGACACAGAAAACTGCTGTGATGAGAGACTGGCACATTCAGCCACGAGAGAAGCATGGCAAGACGAGAAGCCAGCCAAGCCCCAGGACACTTGGTTGAAATTCCACTAGAGGGAGCACACATCCCATCTCATACAACTCCAGGACCATGGAATTATAAAATATCCTGACCTGAGAGGGACCCACAAGGATCAAAACCCCTACAAAGGACTCTCAGAGAGTCCCAGAATGGTTTGGGTTGAAAAGGAGCTTAAAGCTCACCCTGTGTTACCCCTGCATGGGCAGGGACACCTTCCACTGTCCCAGGCTGCTCCGAGCCCTGTCCAACCTGGCCTTGGGCACTTCCAGGGATCCAGGGGCAGCCACAGCTGCTCTGGGCACCCTGTGCCAGGGCCTGCCCACCCTAACAGGAACAATTCCTTCCCAACATCCAACCTAGCTCTCCATTTTTAACACCCCATGAACATTACGGTGCTCGAAAGTCGCATTTTCAGCTCCTCTGCACAAACAGCCCCTCAGCCTCTCCACTAACGCTAGAACCAAAGCAGAGAAAACTTTGTTACAATAAAGCAGCAGCAAAGAAAACTGAAAATAAGGCAAGGACTAAAAATAGCTTAAGATGCTTGAGACTAAAGGTGCTGGTGGAGAACACATCAGTGCACATACGATGTGTTAAGGAGTCATCTTAGAAAGTTAAGGAGCCGTCTTAGAAAACACAACAAAAATAGCCAAAAAACAGCATTTTCTTGAACTGAGCAGGCAAATATGTGAGCTATCCCAAAGGGTCATTACTCAGAAAGGACAGCTAGAGGGTGGGGTGATGTGCTGGGTGCCAGAGGGCAGCTGTACCGTCATGGAAGACTCTCTCCACGTTGAGCCCGTAGGTCGCGCAGGTCTCGTAGTAAGTGCATCTCTTGAGGTCATTGGACAACTTCCTGGCTCTGGCATCGTCGATGACACGGGGGTTGGTGGAGCTGATGGCATCTGCAGAGCCATAGGGGGAAAACATCCATTAATGGTCACTTGCAAACACCAGCTTGGGACTCACAGAGTCACAGGAGGGGTGTGGAAGTCGGGAAAGACCTCTGAGATCACCGAGTGTAACAACAACCCACAGTCACCACTGACCCTTAGTGCCCCATCCACGTGGGTTTGGAGCACTTCCAGGGATGGTTCCAGCTTGACAGCCCCTTCTGTGAGGACATTTTCCCTAATATCCAACCTGAGCCTCCCCTGGTGCAACTTCAGGCCAGCTCCTCTCATATTGATCAATACCAAGCAGTGAGTTTAAATACAAACCATGAAACAGGGTGTACATCACTCTGATTTACATCTCCTTATTAAAATTACCAGTACACTGATTCTAAAAGCCAGGAGGAAAACCTCCAAGGCTTTTTGCTTTCCTTAAATACATATATTGAGCTCAGTTGGTACACAATCACATGAAAGAGCATGAGCTCTGATGTAAAACATATTTAGGGAAACAAGTGGGTGATTAGTACAAACATGTCAAATGGTTCTTACATCTCTGTAAGTATCAGTGACTATAGAGTATGAAATATTAAACATGATGTATTTTAAAGAAATAGAACTTAATTGTAAATTACTTTCTCAAACTGCCGTAAAGGCACCCAGAGATGTTGTGGGAACATACTGCAAAGCTGATAAAAATTGTCTTTTTCTATACCATCAAACTTGGTAATTCTCTCCAAGAGCTTCTTCTCATGGAAGCTGAAATTTCAGTTTCTAGAGCTTATCCAGAGGAGCTGAAAAAGCCTCACACCAGAATAGACGAAGGAGAAGCTTCCTTCTTGCTACTCCATCATAGTGATGAACTCTGTATACAAAGGTGATACTATCTGAAGTGATAATCTTATTAACAGACCTTGAAAAGGAATTATTTTTTTTTCCTCAGGAGTATTGTGTTACTCTTCTGCCCCATCCCTGGAAGTGTTCCAGGCCAGGCTGGATGGGGCTTGGAACAACCTGGTACAGTGAGTGGGAGGTGTCCCTGCCCATGGCAGGGGGTGGCACTGGATGATCTTCAAGGTCCCTTTCAGCCCAAACCATTCTGGGATTCTACAACAGGCAATAATTTCAGCATTTACAGCTTCCCAGAAAGCCTTCCTTAAAATCTGTAACCACCCACAGCAGCAAAACAGATTTGTTCTTTGGGAAAAAAGCATTAAAAAAAACCCCTAAACATGAACTCAGTGCCTCTTGCAACGCTGTGTGTGAGGCTCTGCCCCGGGCACGGCAGGACCAGACCTCAACTGATGCTGTCATTACCTCCTCATCAGATCCAATTAACAAAAATAGAGCAGCAATTAAGAAAAGCAGGAGGCCGTTCTTTATCAGCAGAGGGCGCTGGTAGCATATGCCCAAGAAGGAACCGAGAGGGTTCAGCTCCAGAACACCACAACTCCCCAGAGTTTGCCTCCTTGTGCCCAGGTGGGTCAGGCTGGGGCACTGAGCTGCCCTTGGAAGCCAGGGGAGAACATCTGGAAGTGTCACTGTTGTGGGAAAGATTTCATTTCGCATTGCATTTCAGGAATACCTGACACAACCAAGAAGTCCAGGTTGGACACGGCTTGGAGCAACCTGGACTAGTAGAAGATGCCCATGCCCATGGCACGGGGTTGGAATTAAATGAGCTTTAAGGTGCACTCCATCCCAAACCATTCTGGGATTCTATGATATGAAAGGTTTATTTCAAATATGTATTTTAACAAGTGAATGTAGGTATTCATATATTTTATTTCATTGTAAAACACAGACCAAAAACTCTGTTTTTTCCTGATGCTTATGAATAGAGTTAGCATTATTTCATCTTTTAAAAAAATCCCCTTTGCATCGGTGCTGCAACAGAAAATTAACTTTTCTTTTACTGGAAGTAACAGGAAGGAGATGGAAAACCATACCCCAAACCATAGCCCAGAAGGGGGTCAGAAGGGCACAAAGAAAAAAAAAGGTTGGAGAAATGTTTCCCCTTCACCTTCTCAACTCCAGCTTCAAGCCCAAAACATGGCCCTTCAAAGCAGCTCCTTTCTGCTTTTTGGTGGAGTTTCTGCTGTCCTAAGACTTTTTCTGTTCCTACTTCTCCTTTTCCTTCTTATCATCTGTTTCCTCCCTCCAGCTGGGCTGTGATTCCTCCTTCCCTGCTGCCCACACATCCCCTCTGTGCTGTCACCCCTGGGCAGGAGGCAGGGGAAGGCCAAATGCTCCCTGACCATGTGGCTGAAAAAACACCAAAAAGCTCCAACACCACCACAACCACTGGGACATACTAACAAGGAGGATGCCCAAAACTGAGCCAAGAACAATTCACAACACCTGTGTTCTGCCTCTAACACACAACTGCAACCTGGTGAGGCTCAGCCTGGAGAAAAGGAGGCTCAGGGGGGACCTTCTGGCTCTGCACAACTCCTGCCAGGAGGGTGCAGCCATGTGGGCTCTGTACCCAAGGAACAAGGGACAGGACGAGGAGAAATGGCCTCAAATTGTGCCCAAAGGGTTGTCCAGCCCTGGCACAGCTGCCCAGGGCAGTGCTGGAGTCACCACCCCTGGAAGGACATAGAAGTTGTGTGGGTGTGGCACCTGGGGACATGGTTTAATGCTGGCCTTGGCAGTGCTGAGGGAACAGCTGGATTTGGTGATTTAAAAGTTTTTTTCCAACCTTCATGATCCCGTGGTCAGGAACAGAACAGCCTCAGCTCCACCAATGCAGCAAACCAATCAGGATGGGAAACTGGTGAAATGTTACTGGGCTATGCTGGCACAAGGCAGCAGAGGATATTCAAAAAACCACTCAAATGCCAAAGAAACTGAAATATTTTGGGTACCTTTCCCTTACCATATTTCCCTTCAGGACAGCTGCTATTTCAGAAGGAAAAACTGGGGGAATAGGCTGGCTCAGGTGGCAAAAAGCTGCATTTTTACTTGATTTACAGAGGTCTCCCAGAGGCACAGCCTGAGGCCAGGCTTCACCTCTGCCTCCTACCCTGCTGCCTCTCAGCAATGCCAGGGTGTTGAACCCTTCCAGACTGCCAAGCTCATGGAAACTGGTCTGGCTGCAGAACTTCCCCACACAACTGATTTACCTGCCCAGATTCAACCAGGGCATCTCCCTGCTGGGCAAGAAAACCACCACCACCAGCACACATTGAAAATATTATTTTAAATTTCCTTGCAAGCCATAGAATCCTGGAATGGTCTGAGTTGGAAGGGACCTTAAAGCTCATTGTGTTCCACCCCCTGCCATGGGCAGGGACACCTTCCACTATCCCAGGTTGCTCCAAGCCCCATCCACCCTGGCCTTGGACACTTCAGGGATCCAGTGGCAGCCACAGCTGCTCTGGGCAACCTCTGCAGGGCCTGCCCACCCTCAGAGTGAAGAATTTCTTGTGCATATCTGACCTAAACTTCCCCTCTTTCTTCACTGCTGAGGTCCTACACTCTCCCTCTCCAAGCGAACTGCAAGGACATTTTTTTCTCACCTCAAATACTGTCCTTGCAATGCCACAGCTCTGTAGCAAAGGGCAAAGGATAGGACATGGCTTTGCCAGCTTGGAGGAGCCCATGTGGTCTCCAAGGCCCAGCTGAGAGCATTGCAGCTGGGAATGAGGGCTGCACTTACCCTGGGTGCCCACCAGGACCATGGGGATCTCGCTGGTGTTGCGATAGCTGGCCATGCGGCTGTAGTAGTGGTAAACGGTCTGGAAGCTGACCTCATCCTCCAAGCTGAACACAAAGATAACAGCATCCACCCACATGGCAAACTGCAGGATGAAAATGGGAAAGGCCAACTGTGAGAAGAGCAGCAAGGAGGGGGAAGGAAGGAAAAGCAAGAGAGAAATGTTCTTACCTTCCTGCAAGGAAAATACACACCAGAAAATCTCACACACAAAAAAGGCCTCAACAGGGTTAGGATCAGTTGCTAAAATGATGAATCTCATCACCCTGCACACCATGAGGATCTGGGATACACAAGGGATTTCCCCACGTGAGCACCCCTGCTTCACTGGGGTGTGTAAGCAGCTACTGTCAGTGCACACTGGGTTTGATTTCCAGAAAACACAGCAGGCTGAGGTTGCTGTCTCTGTGCATTTGAAAGGAGCAGCACTCATCTGCAGTGCTCACTGAGCCCCCATGCTGCCATTTGCATGCATGCCAGGACGGGCACTGCTAGAAATTCTCACATCTCAACCCCATTAATTTGAGACTTGCAGTTCTCCACCATACAGACACTCTGAGCTGAGCCAGCAGCACCAAGTGCCTCGCTGTGCTTTCAGTGGAAGAGCAAACTGCTCTCTCTTGGCATCAGGAACCTGCTGAGAGACATGCAGGTGCTCCTCAGTGACCATGCAAGTGAGAAGCTTTTAGCTCACAAGTGAGTTAAGACATTTAACTCAACAGTGAACATGAACAGGACATCAAGAAGAAACTCCAGCTTGCTTCACTGCCTTTATTTTTCCCTAAGTGACTCCATTCCTACCCAAATTCAGAGCAATGGAAACAAGCTTCAGCCAAGGGGATTTTCATGCTTTGTTATATTATTACTACAACGTGCCAGGGGACACACTGAACACAGAGGTTCACTGGGGAAAGGCTCTGCATATTCATGATGATTGTATTGAAACCAAACACTGTCTGGGCTGTTACGGGGTAAAAATAGACCAAATAATTGTTTTGAGGTTTTCAAGACAGTCAGGAGGACAATCTTCCAGAGGGGAAGGAGAGGACTGGTTAACACACAGCAGAGTCACTGCCAGAATAAGGTCAACCACCACACTGTTAAACTGTTCAAACCAGAAGATGAAACCACAGGAACTGGAGACAGCATCATTAATCTGGGAGATGTGGGCTTGGGTCTCATTATAAAATGGTTTTTGTTGACTGGACTCAGCAGCATCATGCCAAGGACTCTTCCCAACAACTGGGAATGTCCTTAAGGCATCCATTTGGAAGCCAACAGTCTCTCTAAACCCTCTGAATGTTTGAGCAGTGTGTACAGCAGCCTTCTAATAAAGATCATTTTAAAACACTCCACAGATTTACACTGTGCAGTTCCAGCAGACACAAAACATTTCCAGTAATTCCTTATTTCACTTTTCATACTGAAATGAAGCTTAATCTTTGTGGGTATCAGACCTGTGGTACAGAAAACCAAAGGAATTTTAGGAAACACAAGGTCTGGAAGCCCTGGATGTCTCATCCAGAGTACTGTGCAGGAAATGGCTTGAAACAAGGACAAATCAGCTGCTGGTATAGAAATCCATTCTCAGACTTATTACTGTGAGTGAGCAGAGGTGTTAGCTCAAGGCAAGCCCAAAAGCATATTGTAAAAAATGTTTTAAATTTAAAAACTGCATGCAGCAGCTCATTGTAGGTCAGCTACCAGGTTAATTTGGTTTTACAATAGGAAATTGAATTATTTTCATCTTTGAACAATTTTATCTTAGGCAAAGAAAGGAGAGATCATAGACCCACAAAAAGAGTATTAAGGGCAGTTTGTTTTTTCTCACTTCCTGCCAAAAAGAAGGGGACAGTAACCTGGGGAATACCCATGACCCAGTGCCACAACTCCACATGTCAGCTCCTTCCTTACTGCAGGTGGAATTCAATCCCAATTATTCATGAACACACAAGCAAACTTTTCATTGCAGGAATTAATGAACAGATTAAAGATTTTTAATAGACATGTAACTTGAAATTACACCCAAAAACTCCAAAGGGAATTTACAGGAAAGCTTCGTGCTGAAAGGTGAGACAGCACTGACACCTCAGACCTCTTCAGCAAATCACGAGGATGGAGAACAAATCTCAGCCACCACAGGATCCCAGAGTGGTCTGGGTTGGAGGGACCTTAAAGCTCATCTCATACCAGCCCCCTGCCATGGGCAGGGACACCTTTCACTGCACAAAGCCCCAAATTCACCTGGCACATCCCAGGAGCACACCCTGTGCTGTTCATCAGTCTGCAGCCAGCTCCTGTGAGCTCTGCAAAGCCAGGCACAAACCCATCTCAGATTGCTGCATGTACCTTTGTACCTCCACTATTCACATTCTTAGATGAGTGAGTGTTCTCTAAGCATTAGGGGCTGCTCCAGCCAAATCCCTCCCAGCCCCAGACAGAGCTGTCCTTGTTGCTCCTGCTGCCAGATGTGCCAGTGCTTTATTCTGTCCTGTGACTTCCTTCCTTCCAGGATGTCTCTCTCCGCCTCCATTTCCTCCTCGTCCTTTCTCTTCCCCTTTGTCCTGGCACCTTCCCCCACGCTCTCACCCTCCTGGAGCTGTGCTGCTGCATTGAAACCCAAGCTGCTGCTGCTGGCACTGCTCCCCCTCAGCTGTTTGGCAGCTCCTGATGCTCAATTATTGCTTGTTTGGAAGCTGATCCCTCCCGGAAGAGCCTGGCAAAGCCAGGCCAGCAGCAGCCAACACTCAGGAAATCCTGCCAGTGCCCAGGTGAGGAGAGGTGGAGGAGGAGGATGTCCAAGACAAGGATGCTGCCTGCAGGCAGCACAGATGCTTTAATCTGAGGTGATTTAAGCAGCACATGAGCAAACTCTTGCTCAACAGAGAAATGGTCAAGCACTCAAACCCCCAAGTGTCTTCTCCACAGCCAGGGGCTTGGCCAGGCTGGGGGAGCTGGGGGTGTTCAACCTGGAGAAGAGAAGGACCCAGGGAGACTTCAGAGCTCCTTCCAGAGGGCTGGAGAGGGACTTGGGACAAGGGCCTGGAGTAGGGCAGGACACAGGGAATGGCTTCCCACTGCCACAGGGCAGGGTTAAATGGGATGGTGGGAAGGAATTCCTCCCTGGGAGGAGGGTGGGCAGGCCCTGGCACAGGGTGCCCAGATCCCTGGCAGTGCCCAAGGCCAGGCTGGATGGGGCTTGGAGCAGCCTGGGATAGTGGAAGGTGTCTTTGCCCATGGCAGAGGGTGGGAGTGAGATGAGCTTTAAGGTCCCTGCCAATCCAAACCATCCTGTGCTTCTATGAAATCCTGATGTGTGACTAGGGGAAGCACAATGCTTGGGAATTCAGTATAAATGAGCTGGATATCCTGACTTGCACAGTCTCAGTCAGAATCCCAAATATTTGCTACACACACTCATCCATCCATTGTAACTGAAATCCCAACCATTTGCTGGACAAAATCTTTTTCACCTGAGGGTGATGCTGGAATTCTCCTGGCAGGAAGATGAGAAGGAGCCAGGGCAGAACAAAGCAGAGCCAGTTCTTTGAAAGGAACTTTTGAAAAACAAGGGAAGCGAGGCTTTGGGCTCACCTGTGCCTCTGGAGGGCCTCCTTCATCTCTGATCAGCAGCAGGTAGCTCTGTCCATCAACCACTATCTCCTTCTTGAATCTCCCACCTGCCACACAAAGCAGCTCGTTACAGACAGCAGAGGTACAGAACACACAGCAGAAAAAGGCTTCGCTTGTGGAAAAGAAAGCTCTTTGCAAATTAACCAGCAACTGGAATGTTACTGAGGTTCAGATGCACATACATGGGAATTACTTCAAATTAAGGCATGTACTTGCCTTATATTTATATATATTTATATATATTTATATAAATATATAGTGGGAAAAAACAGGAATTGCATTACAACCCACACTAGGTGTCCTTGGGTTGATGCATACAATTAAAACCCTGTATGTGTCACCTTTGTTTTTAATAATTGGGAAAGAAGTGTCTGTAAGGAAGGCAAAGTGCACACAAACATCGTGTCTCCTCACCAAAACCAGTTTCCTGTGGCATCCAGCATTTCCCCAAGGGAAGCCCAGTTCTCAGAGCACACAAGAGTGGGATGTTATGGGAATGAGAGCTCCACACTCACACACCACAGTTAGGGGAAGGTACCACACACATGTTAGACAAAAAAGCTACGATGGTGCTGCCTCTGGAGAGATGTGCTAAGCTAGCAGAGAAGCCTGTGCTGCTGGCTTGGGATGAATCCCACACCTGCTCTGCACACCTGGATAAAGAGAGGGCAGCCATAGCCTCCAACCACATCCTACTCCTGCTCCTGGATTTCCAGGGGGTGCAGAACAAGGGGTGCCTGGGGCCACCAAGGAGGATCCAAGCCCAGCAGCTGCTCTGTCACTGACTGGCTCACAGGGACTCAGCCACCACCCCAGGGCAGGGCTGGGACTGCTTCTTTTGGGGCTAAAAGCATATTTTGGGCACTCTGCTGCCTCTCTCAGAAATGACAAATCCCATTTAGGGCTTCTGGTGTGACAGAGCCTAAGCCAGGATTAGCAAGCTTGGCCTAAGCACAGGGGAGGCATTTAGGCTCCTCTCCTGGAGCAAACCCACTCTTATCTCCCCACCTAAGTCCCAAAGCCCCCAAGGCCTCCAGCTCTGCATCACCCACCCTCACAGCTGAGCTTACCATGCTGAGATAAAACACATCCATTAACACACCCTAAACTTCTCTCTTTATCCTATTTTTAAAAACTGGAATTAGTTCTGATTTGAACCCTATTTCTCAGCTCCAAAATGTGCCATTCCACAGAAACCAGTGGTAGAGAGCCAACAGCTCTGCCTTGCTCTCCAAACAAGCTCCCTAAGCAAGTAAGTCAGCACTCCCAGGCTAATGCTGATGCTCAAAACACAACAATCTGCACAAAAATTGCTGCCTTAAGGGAACCCAATGCTGGCTTAGACCCACCATTCCCCCCCAGCCCAACCACAACAGCAGCCTTCAAACCAAGATTACTCCACAGCTCAGCTCTGTGCAACACTTAAGCATGTTTAAACACATTTTGTGTTTAATAAAAGATGTAAGAATTAAGAGGTTTTTGTGGGTTTGTGCTGGGGTTTTTTGTTTGGGTTTTTTAAAATCTTTTCTTTATAAATTTATCCTATTAGCAGTATTAAACATGCAGCAATGAAGACTATCACATTTCTGGTTGTTTAATGGCACAGAAGGAGCAGAAGAGCCACGAATGGATTTTCATTATCTCGCTCACAAAGTGGATTTCAATCCTACCCTCACAGATCAAGTGGCAGATAGATATCTATCATTACTGAACCTGAAAAGAACAATCCCAAACAAGTGTAGAACTTGTAAAGGAAACAGCCTCAGCTCTCAGGAACTGGATTTCTATTAATCAGGCCATTATTTCTATATGCTGTCGATTAAATGTGCTTCCCAATGAAGTGTTAACTAAGATGAATTACTTAACACAGAGCCCTCCAGAGAGGGGCTTTAAAGCTGTAACTAACAATGGAAATACACTGTATGCCTGATCAGAGAGGGAAAGTTCTGCCTAATTGCCATTTCCTATTTCCTTTTTTTTTTTTTAAACACTGCAAGTTCCCCCAGCTAATTACAAAATACCACACACCGAATGCGTTTGGGAGCCAACTCATTATTCCCATGGTCAACAGGATGCCTTGCCAGTCTCACTGTACCTTCAAACAGTCCTCAGAGGCACAAAGAAGGTACAGACAGGGTGGATTAAAAAGCTTAAGCAGAGAATTGAAAACTAAAAAAAAAAAATTTGAGTGTCCAGCTCACAAACATGAGCCCTATGAGATTTACTCTTCATGATTTGACTGTTGAGAGCAGCTTGGAAAAGGGTATTAAATTTAATAAATGCAGTGCAAGTTAGTCAGCAGCTCTTTTCCTATGTGAATCCACACTAAATGATCACCTTGGGGACCTGCTCCTTGCCTTCCCCAAAACCACTGGGCATGGAGCTCAGTGCAATTATTGTTATTTCCAGTATTAAATTCACATCCTGACGTGCTGTCCCACTCCACCGAGGGCTGTCACCCTGCTGCAGCCAACAGCCACAGTCAGCTCAAATCTGCTCAAGTGCCTTCTTCACCCTTAAAAGCAGGATGTGCTCATTAGCTGGAATAGGCACATCCTCACAATCCTTGATTTTTGTGTGGATGTAAGTATTTCATGACAAACAGTTTGAATTTAACACCCCTCCAACCAAACTGTTTCAAAGAATGCCCTGCATTTCCAAGCTGTACTAAATATTTCAAAACAAATCTGAAGGCTCAGAAATGGAACAGCAAACTCACGCTCATCCCTTGAGTAAGAATTATTTTATGCAAATCTCAGCTCACAGCAGGACTCATCCCTAACAACTTGTGCTTCTACACCATTAAGGAGCCCTTATCATGAGCACAGCACAAAATTAGGTGCTGCACAGGACAGAGATTAAGAAAACCTACCTTAATATCAAGAATTTATACAAACAAAAGCATAAACAGTGAAGAATGGAAAGAGCAAGGCTGTACCCTGCAGGTATCTGTGGTTGTAGTGATTAAGGCAAACAAACAATAAACTGCTTTTCCTTTGATTTGATGAGCCTTGATGAGATCCAGGAGCACTTTGGGCAAGGGCAGCAATTTTGGGGTGCTTCAGCTTGGACAGCACCACGTTCTTTTTCTTTTTTTTTTTTTTTTTAATATATCCAGGGGTTTGTAAAGAAGCACAGGCAAAGAGGAATTACAGAGCTCGGCCAGTTCAAATATTGGACTACAGCAAACCATGAGGAAGCCAAACACTCTCCCAGGGCTCCAAAATACCCCCTATTTTCCTAAATATCTGCCTATGTGACAGAGGCAGGAATTACTGTCTAAACCAACAGCACTGAGAACAAAGAAATGACCTTCATAATATAGAGAACGAGCTCAAAACCCACAGCACCACTCCCAGGGGAGGTGGCTGGCTCTGCTCTGGTCCCATCAGGATTATGACACATGCAGCTTTTTAATGAGGGAGCTCCTCAGCTCCCACATGTACCTGCCAGGGGAGGGGACGACTGGTGGCCAAAGGATGGGGCACCACAGGCACCTCAAGGCAGTTATTCCCAGTTTTCCAGGGCTAGAACAGTACCCATTGCCACAGGCTCATTGTCAGATGAGCACAGAATTTTTGCAGGTGACAAATACTCCTGTCTGTGCCCAAAGTCGTGAAGCAGCCCCCAAACCACCCCGGCTCTCCCAGGTGCACCTGGCCACACTCCTGCTGTAAAATGCCCCACGTGAATACACAGCTCTGACCAACACAAAGCTAAATAAATGCTGTGCATCAGCAATTCACAACCCTGGCTGAAGAGCCAGCACAAATTGGAAGAGGGGGGGATCAAGCACAGCTTCCTGATCTCATTGTCATGCACGACCCTCCGTAAGGTGAGCGTGCGGAATCGGCGGCGGTGACGCAGAAATTAACCAGCGAAAATTGGAATGAAATTTAAACACTGCACACATTTGCAATCAGAGGTGCTCTCTGTAACAAAAGCTGGGTATTACATGGGGAATTCTGGGCATGGAGGCTTTAATCCAGGCTCTGACAGCCTGGCCACCCCCTCCTCTCGCCCAGAGCCGTTGCAGCGCGTAATTGCTCAGCGGAGCAGCCGCTGATTTTGCTGCTGCATCCCCAGGCTCCACTGTGCTCACCAGGCTCTTTATTCAAGCAAATTGCCACGGGGATGAAGTTATTTAGCCATGTGAGAAGGATAAATTCGGGGGGCCGGCCACACGACAAGCACAGGCAGCAGCTGAACGTCTACTGTGGCAGGGCAAGACAGAAGGGAGGACTGAGGCAGCTCTAAAGGAGTCAGGCAGCTCCTGGATTTGATATTCCCAGTGACATGTGCATTTTGACAACAGCAGCCAGTTGGCTCACACATGCACGTTCTCTCCCTTTTTTTCCCCCACATCAGTGCCAAGAACCTGGCTCCTCTTCAGGGAAACACGTTCAAAAATTCTCTGTTCAAACAGATGGCCACATAGTGGTCTTCTGGTTTGCTACTCATGTTTTTTTTATTTAAATAAACTAATTTTAAAATGTTTTTCGCAGCATTGCCTTAAAAGGAAAAAAAAAATTTTTAAGAAGGAAAAGGTTCTTCCCCCAGAGGGTGCTGGGCACTGCCCAGGCTCCTCAGGGAATGGGAACAGCCTCAATCCTGCCAAAGCTCCAGGAGGGTTTGGACAACGCTCTCAGGGATGCACAGGGTGGGATTGCTGGGGTGTCTGTGTTGGATCAATGATCCTTCCAGCTCAGGATATTCCATGATACTATGATTTTGGGCATTTCCTGAATACAACCACTGTGCTAAACAACAATTCAGAAACTGTGAGCAGCTGAGCTGGGTCAAGGATCAAGGACCAAGGAACCATTGCTGCCACACAAGACTGAAGCTGCTAGAGGAGCCCTGGACTCCCTTCCCAAAGACTACCTGGGTAAAACAAACCCCAAAAGCCAACAAAAGCAGCCTAGACTGAGCTTTTCAACCCCCACCATCTGCTTTTCTCAACAGGTTTAAGATATAGTCCAGGAAATCCATGGAGAGGTCCTGGAAGTATCAAAACATACCCAATTACAGCAAGGTACCCCCCCAG